ATTGTGTGGGTGTGTGTGTGTGACGTCAGGCTGCCATGTAAAACTTTTTAAAAAGAAAAAAAAAAAAAAAAAAACAACAACCTTAAATGCAGACCATCCTTTTTTGCATGCTTAGAGGGTTAGAACGTTCAATGTAACAAACTAAAGTTGCATGTTAAAATGTTTAGGTTTTTGTTTTGTTCTGTTTTTATTTTGTGTTCAGTTTTTTGTGAATTTGCTTATTGTGCTGTTTTAATGGTTGTTAGTAGGATTAAATGCACCGGTGAGACGAGCATAGTGCCAACGGAAGGTAATTTTCCAGTTGTATGTGTCATACAGCATTTGAAGGGACCATGTATTCTGTTAAAGAAAAAATAAAATCACAGTTGATTAGCAAAACACTACATTTTTCTTCTTTCTTTTTGAGTGCCAAACCCTAAACTATGTTGGAGTAGACTATGGGGAAAACCCTTTTTATTGCAACAGGTAGAAGCCACCTTTAAATGAATTATTTAAAAAGGGAGGCTTTATTCAGATAGAATTGACTAGTTGCTTCAGGGAAAAGAATTATGGTAAAAACAGTCTCTGGTTCCTTTGAAAATGCTGTGCTTTTGTATTTTACATCATTAGTGCAATTTGGATGGTTCTTGGTATGTGTATAGTTCAAAGGTCTTCGTGTTCACATTTTAAAATTAGGTAATGACTTCATCTTTAGAGCTTGGTTTCATTATTTTTATTTTATTTCTCTGCATTTAGAAGTATGAACACTTTAAATCTGTTACTTAATTCTGTAAGTAATTTTTATAATTATGATGTAACTTTATCCTTAAAACATTTAAAATAAACCCTTTATGTGCAACTTATGACTGTAAACTTTGTTCTCATGAGCAAAATGTAGTGATGTGATTTAAGATTGTGAAGAAGCAGTTTCTTCAGTTTTCTAATTAAAAAGGATTTATTATTTTAATGCTGCGCCATATATGCTGGTATAATACTTGCCCTATGAAATAAGTTTGCTTGCAAAGCCAAATGTTTGTTCTTTTTTCCAAGTAAGTATAAATGTTGGTAAGATGGAACTTAGCTAAAGTAAAGCACACTGCTTAAATTGTATTTTACCAAACACAGAAAAAATCCCCTCCAGGGGATTATGCAAGTCTGTGAAGGAGTCTCTCTTTCCAGAACACACAAAATGCTTCAGCAGTAGGGAAGAGCAGAAGCATTTGGCAGTGTTTAGGTGATTGATTTGTCTACTTTGAATTAATAAAATTCTAAATTCAATTAAGGACATTTTACTGATGATAAAAAAGCAAAGTTGATCCAAATTAGGGGTTATAAGCAGAGAAGATAACATCGCCATGCTGCAGATTTTTTTAAGTCATGTAAGTTCTGATTAATGCATGAAGACTTAATTATTTTATGTTAAATAACTAAGGCAGACTTCCAGTATTGAACAGGTTTTCTTTATTCCTACCTCTTTTCTGATAATAAAGGGGAAAGTGTTATATGGATACCCCAAAATCCATTTTTTTGGCACCAAGCTCATTAGATGTACACTGAAGATCTTGGGAGCATGCCAGCATTCAGTTGGGATGAATGCCCACCAAGCCTCTTCAGTTCCCTTAGTTCAGTGTCCTGCTTATTGTATCCTGTTGCCTGAGAGACTCATCCCCGTGAAGATTTATATTGTGTACATCTGCTGATTAGAGAGAGTCTGAGGCTTTGCTTTAGCAAGAGCGTCACATCCAAAAAGCAGATGTTAATCTGGGTGAGCTGGCTACATTAAATTATAGTTAAAAATAGATACACTAACATTTTATACTAATGGCTGAACCTGTTCTGTATTACCTCTGATAAACCAACCTCAGTTTTGTAGCATCTCATCTCTTCATAGAAGAAGCAGCCCTATGAAAAAAAGGTATTTTTGTTCTTTATTACTGCAGTAATGAAATTGCTCCTGAAAGCTGGTTACTTGGGAGCTCATTTACAAGCAGCTCAAATGTTGATGTTTTGAAAACAGTAATGTCCCACAGATTTAGGAGGGTGGGGATAGGAGTCCTACACAGAGCTACTTTTCACATCTGTCACATTCCTCCTTGTGCATATAAACAGGTTGTATTTTCAGGAAAAAAATAGCTTCTCTCTCTGCTCAGTGAGTTTTTTATTTTGTAATGAAGTAACTTTTGAAATATGCTGTAAACATTTGAGATGCTGCTGATTTCAGTGGACTCCATTGTTTTTCGTAAAGGATAAACTTTTGTAAGGATATTTTGGGGGAGGTTGGGCTGCTGCAATTTAAGATCATGAAGGTCTAAAAGGAAAAGTAAGAACAAGTGAAGGAAATGACAGGTATGTGCTTTCATCCTTAAGCACTGAATAATAAGAGCCTTTTACTTTTTGGCACACTCAGAAGCATTTTTTTCAATCTAACTCTAGTTTCTTCTTCAGTGAGTAAGTTTCTGCCTGGGCGTGTTACATCATTTAACTCTCTTCTCTGCCAAGATCAATACCTTACCATTTTAATTCATTTCAGGATTGGCAGCCTGGGAAAGTTATCAGGCTACTAAGCATTTTTTTCAGGCTCTGCTCTTTCTGTTTTAATAGTTTACTGCCCTGTGAATTCCTGGATTCCTCTTCCAAATTCAGAGTGCAGAGCTGCATGTGCACAATATACAGCTATGTAGGCAGAACAGAAAGTAGCTGGGGTCTCAGCAGTGTAAATAAGGTGGTGTCTACTTAACATTTCCCTAATCTATTTAGATGTTTATTACAGATTCCTGCACATTATTTTTCTGAAATCAGTTGTGTTGTGTACAATCACTTGTATACAATGCATGTAAATGGTTTTGTAGCCTGACAGTTAAAAAACCTATATGCTTTGACAATGATTCCACCCACCCCTGTGCAATTAATCCTTAAATTTACTTGTATTCAATGGAGTCTGACTTTTACAAGTCCTTTTTGAACGTTTTGATGCATTTGTTGTCATGTTGTTCCTCAGGTCTCTGCACTAAAGACTGACCTGTTCGAAGCTAACTTTGGTAATGAACATGGACATCTGCATGTTTACTTTGACTTGCGCAAACTGCTTTTGTTACTGAAGAATGTTCCACCCAGACCTGACATTTGAGAGGCATATTTTTGTGGATAAAATAATCAACACAACCTTACACTACTTTAAACGCACATTCAAGTTAAATCAGAGTGGTTTCTTGTGGACAGCCACTACTTTGGGAGGGGAGAAGGCTGGGGGAGGTGGGGCATGTTACTAGGTTTGTATGGAAGATTGCTCAGTGGCAGGGCAGCTACTCCTTTAAATATGAGAAAGGAAAGGTAAGATCCTTTCACATTTCACTCAACCAGATTTTGGCCTGATGATTTTTAGTCCTGCTGCACTAACTAGCTACACATGGTATATGCTCACCTTTGAACTGGACTGTGGGATGGATGTCTTAAATTATCTTCAGAAAGACTTTTTATCTTCTACCACTGGAGTCATGCACTGGGAACACTGGTTGTTACACTTTCCATAAAAGTTCTAACTAACTGTTTAGTAACTCCTAGCCATTTTTAACTTACAGAAGCAGATGTCTAACTTAACTTATCATGAATTTAATGGATTAAAAACAAAGTAACCTTCTAAACTGTAAGAGCAAAATAAATCAACACTAATAGCAGAAGCATGAGAGAAGAAATCTATAATGATTCAAAGGTCGTGCTCAAGAGTGTAGAAAGCATAGCAACAGCAAGTTATACAAGTAACTTTTTGCTACATTACCACCTGTTTCATTATGGAAGGTTGAAACTGTGTCTTGCTGGGAATCCTCATTAATCTCAGGCTTTGTTCGCTCATTCTCAGTTTTCTGCCTTAAAAGGGTATTTGTTCTCCTGACACAAAATTCTCTTCTATTGTTAGTGAGGCTCAGTGTGTTGTCTACTCAGAAGCTGGCAGATAGAAAGAACAAAATGAAAAAGTGGAGTTACGGTGCAGTTTTCTGAAAAAGTGAGGTAGAAAAGCTAATGACTTTGATTCAGAATTTCTGATGGTAGGGGGGGAAAATAAATGGACCCAGTACCTACTGATCATAGTAGATGAGAACTGAACTGAGAATAAAAGTTCATTCCAAAAAGAATGAAAGACTAACCAAGAGGATGCTCATAATATAAAATAAGCACAATGTATTAGGTTTTACTGAGGAGAAAAGAAAATTAAGATTAATTATTGCCTAGCATGGGCAATACT